TTTGCTAGAAAGGAGAGCGAGTGATGGGTATCCCCCATGCGTGTCTGCTCTTTGACAACAGAAAACAGTAGACACTGCTCCCACCCAATGATATCCTTCTGTTGGCGGTGAAGGTCACATCGAGAACAACATACCCATATTGTAGCTCTGAGTGTAACCCAGAGGGTTGGTGGGCTGCCCCTCTCCCTCTCCCTCCACCCCCCCATCCTCCACCACCCACGGCTCCAGAGCTGTCTCTCCAGCTGGGATTTATGTAATAGGAAGGGCTCTGGAACACACATGGGACCAGCATTGGTTAGGCCTGGCTGAGATCCCCTCTTTCTCTAAGCCTGAAAAGATGGAAACATCTGGCGGCCATCTGGGTTGCTCATCTTTGCACTCCTGGCCTGAAAACGGACAGATGAGACTAGGAACACGGGGAGTCAGATAAATAGCACAGCTGACCGGCTGTGGCCTGGTGGGTTCACAGAGAGACAGAGACTCAAACAGCCCTAGCTGGCTCTTGAGGCTGCTGGGTCAGACAGGAACATGTGGATGTCATTGTGCTGCTCAAATGCTTCCCACAGGAAGGAAAACAATTTTCTTGATGCCAATTTTTCTCCAAGTGCCAAGCAGCCTTGCCGTTTCACCGCAGAGGTCGCTTTGGCATGGTGCCTCGTGGAAGGAACCTTATGTGGGGACAGCACAGGAGCCTTTCACTCCGTGTCCCTCAAGCACGGTTGTTTTCCTTTCTCCACAGTTCGTCCTCATCACTTCCTGTTTACCTGTTTCCATGCAGGCCCCTCACACGCCAGCCCCGAGAAGTCCAAGCACTGTGAAGAATGTCACAGAGTGTAGGAAGGGAACTCCAGGCTCTCCCGCATCTTCCTGGCCCTTGGATGAGATGGATAGGCTTGATGGAGAGGGTCACAATCACGTCACACTTGCTAACCTTTTCAAGCCCCCTCTGATGGTAACCTTTTCCTTAGGGGGTTAGATTTATCTAAGTACTACAACTAAAACACACACTGATCTCATAGCTTGTGCCCATCTGAGATGTGAGAATGTCTTCTTAGATTTTCTTTTATTTGGTGCATTCATTCACAATTTCAGGCATTTCCCTCACTAATGTTCCTCGATCCCACTCCACCACCTCCCATGATCTTCTCTTATGGCTTCCTTCAGCCCCATGAGTCCCCTCCCACCTTCCTATCCCAAACGTGTATGTGATTTACTGTATTCAATTAGGGTTGCATGCTGTAAATTGGGGGTTATTTTCTTGAGCCAGGGCAACGTACCAGCAGATATTACAACCGAGGAACACCACACCCCTTTCTCAGGCAATTACTAACTGCCCATCGCTCTTTAGGGCCTCATGACCCTCCCCTAGCATGGATGGAATACTGATGGGCCCTGTCTTCTGCAGGCTGCCAGTGCTGCTATAGTGCATGGTGCATCAGCCATGTGTGCAGGCGTGAATCCACTTCCTTCTGAGAATGTAAAAGTTGGTTCCTTCCACAGGGAAGCTGAGCAGCTGACTCTAGGCTAGGTCTCTCTCTTATGCCAGCACTGTTCTCGTGTAATTTACTATGTCCTGGACATCTAAAGGCAAAACCAGAAGGTATTGGACTAACAGCAAAAGCTGAAGTGCTCAGAGTAAAAGATTTATCTTTCAACTAGCTGGCTCTCTAGCACCAAGACAGGCCAGTAAAGACCATCCACAGGGAGTTTTCTTATTTATTAAAAGCACTTAGCTTATTAAAATAAAATATCCACCAGCAAGGTCAAGTGGCCTGTAAAGCCAATCAGAAAGAGATCCATATCTGGGATATTAATTTTTCTATTTTTCCACCAAATTTTTACAATGAAAACTAATTTTTAAAGGTTCCAGAGCAGAAAAAAAAAACAATCTTCTGCTAAGAAAAGACTTAGTCATTTAAAGTGATCCAATGTGTGGACTACTGATTGGCAGGATGGGTGGCCTGGCCCCGATGTAAATAACCTTGAGAGAAGAAGTTGAGAGCACCATCTGAATGAGGAAGGCAACTGAAAAGAGAGATTCCTAAGCATGAATAAAAGACAAAAAGCAGAGTGCCCACACTCGGACACTGTTACAGAGAAAACAAATTCTGTGGCAACCTTGCTTTTTCAGAGAGGGTTACTTGACAGTAGACTAAGGGGTGGTCAAGCCAGGTGCCACACAATTTTCCTTAATTAGATCTCCTCTCCTCTTGGTGCTACCATTTTTGTCTAATGGAGATGGCATGAGGAAGGTAGGAAGGGGAAGAAGAATGCAGTCTTTCCACTCCCGCTTCCTGCCCTGACTCATTGCTCTAGCAGACATTGGACCTCTACTCCACCAGGGGGCAGGCTACACAGTGCAGCTCACAGCAAGAGCCAAGGTAGGCACAGGTAACAAGAAGAGCTGCATTCAGAGCAGACCCCAATTTGCTTCCCTGTTAGACACTCTCCTCATGAAGACTGCCAGCCTCAGCTCTCCTGGACATCCTCAGGCTCAGTGTATTCTCCGTGTCAAATGGATGAGATGCCAGGTAGTCCTTGTACACCCCGTCAATCAGCTTGGCGGCATTGTTTTTATCAAACCAGCAGTCCACCTGCTCTTGCCCATTATAAATCTTCCTTTGTTTCCAGACCACTGGAACTCGGCGCCCTTTCACCTTTATGATAGCCTCGGGCATCCCTTCTGTCTGAGGAAATGGCTGATTACTAAGATTCTTGCTGTACACTGCAGGAGCGTCATCTATGAGTTTGGCATCCTGGTTCAGGAACTGACCTGAGAGAGGGAAAAAAACTGATGTAAGTTGAATGCAGACAACAGCTGCTATCTAGCGTTGGTGGTGTCAGGGGCAAGAGGGTTTTTCATGGACCATTGTCCTAGGCTAGGCCCTCCCTGGAGGCATTCATTGATGAGATTCTCATCATGGTCTGCCTCCCTGGAAACTACCCAGTTGCTAATGTTGAGACGACAAATGGAGTTAGCGAGATCTCGGCTTAACTGGGGGGACAGCGTGGTAGCAGATAAGTAGGACATAGAGCCCCGCCTTTCCTCGCCTCTCCTTGGTAACAGATCCTCCTCAAAGCATCCACTCATTGTTATGCACTGGGGTAGAATGGTGGAAGCAGTCAGCTCAATTCACCCCTGACACTCAGAACATCCCAGGTCAAGTGAGGGCATTGCTCAGGCCAAGGGAACATGGATCCGCATCTGTGAGACAGAGCTCATGTCTGGCAGCCAAACACAATGAAACGCACCAAGCTCAAGTGCCAGGAAATCCTGCCTTCTAAACCGAGCTCTGAAAATGACTCAGTCATTGTTTTTGGGCAAAGGGCCCACGTGAGATTGCACCGTCAAGACGGCCAGCCAGTGTGGCCTGCCTTTGGCTCACAGCAACACAGATGACTCTTAGGAAAGGCATTCACCTCTCGTGCTCAGTGCTGGCTGCCCTGGATCTGCTGCTTCTTGCAGACTGGCAAGAAATGAGCTCTTTGGATGGCTGCTCCTCAGCTCTTTGGGTTCTCAGAAGTCTAGTGAGAACTAGTGTGTAAGACCCACCCTGAGAACAGAAATCCCATTTTTCAGGCCTGGAGAGATGGCTCAGAGGTTAAGAGCACTGACTGCTCTTCCAGAGGTCCTGAGTTCAATTCCCAGCAACCACATGGTGGCTCACAACCATTTGTAATGAGATCTGGCATATTCTTCTGTGTACATAATAAATAAATAAATCTTACAAAAAATAAAATAAAGTTGTGGCATGTTTAGAAGTCCAGAGATGTCTAGGTGTTGGGTGGAGACAAGAGAATCCCTGGACTATCATGGGCCAGCTTGTCTGTAGGCACACAGAAGTTCTAGGCTGATGAGAGTCCCTGCCTCAAACAAAAAGTGGAGGGCATCTGAGGAACAATATCCAAGCTTGTCCTCTGACCCCCCACATGCACATATACCCCACACATACATGAACACACACATACCAAAAAAGCAATCTAAATTTCACATGCTATATATATGAAGTCGGGCTTTCTGCATGTGAAGTTCTGGTGTCTTTGTCAATCACAGATTGAAAACACATGGGGAATGTGTGCTGATCCTGAACTATGGACTTCCTTCTCATCATTGGTCCATAAACGCTGCAGGACAACAACTACTTGCATAGATAGCACAAACAGGGCTTTGGGTACGGTCAGGGATCCAGAAGTTATTTAAAAGAGAGGGAAGATGTGAGTAGGTTTTATGCAGAGGCCGCATTTTAGACAGGGGACTTTGAGCCTCCTTAGGTTTTAGAGCTCTTGAGAGATCTTGGAACTGCAGCCCCAGCAGATGCTGAAGGATAACTGAACACGCTCCCACTGTAATTTCTGTCAAGCTCATGACACTGGCCACAAGAACTTCCTTTTAGGAAACCCAGTTCTACCCTCTGACCACAGACTGAGCATGGGCCGCCACCTACCTAACAGGCCATGGCAATTGCTGGAGAGGCCTTTGCTGTTGGCAATATAGAAGCCCAGGTGGTTTCGCTGGAAGGGTGCTGGGTTTTTGTACAGATGAATAAGGATGACAAAGGTGATGGTACCCTGGATGGTGACAGTGACGTTGGCATTGGCAGACACCGACACCTCCAGTCCCCGACTCCCCACCACCACACTCTGGTTGCAGGGGAGGACCAGCCTGTCTCCACCATCCAGGATGACCCTGTTGGGTGTGATCTCGAGGTAAGATCTCTCTGGCCGGTTGATGAGGATGGTGATGGTCCGGAAGTATGTGCGCTGTTTCTTATGACCATTTGGAGGTGCTGGGGCCCCAATAAGCTCTCCGTTCACAGTCACCCCTCAAAGGTCAAGAAGAAAACAGTGGTTAGAAAAGCCACGTCCATTTTCCAGCTAAAGGCATCTGTTATGGTTTGGGTTTGAACTGCCTCTCCAAAGGCACATGCAAAAAGGGCCACTCTCTCACACAGTGGGCCTATTTTAAGAAGTATTGAAAGTTAGGAGGTAGGGGCCGGCTGGAGGGAGCAGGTCACTTGAAAGATGAATCCTTGGGAGTATCTTGTATCACGCTAGTGTTTCTCTGACTCTCTACTTCCTGTCAGAGATGATGTGAGCCCCTCTCCCCGTTCCTTCCCAGCCTTCCATGATTCTTTGCCTCACCACGGGCTTAGAATTGATGGAGCCAAGTTATGAACTCTGAAACCAGGACCCAAAATAAATTCTTCTCCCTTAAAGTTTTGCTGTCACACATTTTGTCATTGATACAGAAAGCCATAGATAGGATCTAATAAATGTCCTTCCACCCTCCTTATCTTTGTATTTATCACCAAGACTGTTGTCTGAACTAGACCTATGGGCTGCTCAGTGGCTGCTGACAGAGGGAGTGAATGGGCGAAAGCCATGAATGAGTTTCCTTCCATGTCTAAATAAAGGAATATAGGATGGAAGGGGTAGTATATGATACTTTGGGTCAAAGTATCATAGAAAGTCATTAATATCTTCAAGCGCTTTCACTCTTGTCATTCTGGTGTCTGCTGGTGTGGTTCTGATAGGCACTGTGTCCATCAGCTGTCAATAATCCTAGGTTTGAGATCATTTGATGTCACTGAGCAGGATTCAAAGTTCAAATTCCTTTTTACTTCAGAAGGCCAATTTCGTCTACCTAACATGTGTTTACCCTTGGATAAATTCCTTGCCTATAAATTATGGGAGGAGTATAAAACCTAAGAGAATTGGGAGGGGTGTCACAGAAAGAGGCGTATGTAAAAGCCATCAACTGCCACTGAGTACAGCTCCTTCTCTGTTCACTGCATCATACACACAACTGCAGCTTGCCGACCTCCATGAGACCTGAGAGCTAGATTCCGAACCCAGTGATGTACCACCGAACAATTAACAGATGCGGTTGTACATGGGGCGTTTGGAAATGACTTTGATGCATGCTGTATGCTTTGATTTCAGGAAAAGAGGTAATTTTCACTAGTAAAAGGCTGGCACTTAATTAATTCTCATTTTATTTGCTTTGAGATAATCTTCAATAAAACTTGGAAACTTCTTAGATACCCATGGAGAAAATTCTCTTTGATGCAGCAAAAGTGTGAAAAATCTCAGGCTGAACAGACACCCTGATCTTGGGCCTCAAAGCTGTAACACCTACAAACTGATTTCATGTCTGAGACACCACTGTGAATACAGAAACCACAAAGGGGCTCTTTTTGTTGCTATGACCAAATTTCTGACTGAGATAGAGTAATGGTTTGTTTTGGTTCATGGACTCAGCGGATTTTGGTTCATTGTGGTCCAGAAGGCATGGTGAGGTGGCCCCCTTCTGACAGTGGGACTGTGTGGCAGAGAGTCTCAATGGGGGTGGGAACCAGGAAGCAGATAGCATAATAGCAAGTAGCCAGGTAAAATATATGTGTCCCTCCCCAAGGACCTACCTCCTCCAAGTAAACCCTATCTCCTAAGAGTCCTATAGCCTCCCCCAAACAGTGTCGTCATCTGAAGACAACGCATTCAAAACATGAAGGATGTTACACATTCAAACCTTATCAAGCTCTAAAGAGGTGGTGTCTCCAGAGAGGGATATGGTTAGGTCACTGACTCAATGCCAGCTGCCTTTCAAATGAAAAATATTAGAGATTTAATATTTAATATTGAGGCTAGAAAGGTCTATGTGATAAAGAGCCTTGTCAACTTGATACAACCTGGAATCACCTGGGAAGAGATTCTCAAGGACAGATTGTCTACATTAGGTTGGTTTAGGGGCTTGTCTGCTGGATGTTGTCTTAGGTTGACTGATATAGGAAGACCCAGTCTACTGTGGGCAGCACCAGTCCCTAGTCAGGAGATCCTGAACTGTATAGGAGTGGAGAATTTCTTTCTGTTCTTGACTGTGGATGTGATATGACTAGTTTCTTCAAGTTCCTGACTCTTTTACTTCCTCACAGTAATGAACTACAACCTGGAATTATTAAATAAAATAAGCCCTTTCTTCCTAGGTTACTCTGATCAGGGTGTTTTAGCACAGCAACTAAAATGAAGTGAGGACAGCCTGCAAGAAAACCACCTGATAAAGGAGATCAGGGACCAAACTCCGCATAATTATATCACAAATGCCACCTGTATGTTTATAACCTGACTTGCCAAGACACTTACTGCCCAGTACCTAGCAATACTAGAAGGTGCATGCCAAATCTAGTCCTCACTGTGCTGGGCTATGTGGCTGCCCACATGGCTGTCCCCAAGCAATATTGCCTTCACTGTACTCGAAAAGCATTTTCTATGCTAATTTCTTTTATTTCATCTCTCTATAGACCTAAGGTAGCCAAAGCTCCATTCACATATATTCAAGAGCTTTGTGTTTAATGTTTGTGGTTCCCACATAAGTCTCCAGGGACTATGACCTCCTTATCACCACAGTTTCTGAAATGGAAAGCTATAATGACAGTATGATATGATAAATTTCTACAGTACTTGAGTGTTCCTGTTCAGGATTCAGTTGAATTTACTTGTAATAGTCCATGAGGCAAGCAGGGTATTACAACCTCCATTTCACAGAATGAACATTACAGCTGCTGTGGTGCATGCCCAAGGCCACACTGGGGGTATAAAGTAAGGGTCTGATTGTGTGTCCAGAAACTTTGTATAGTTCCTTTACCAATCATCATCAGTACCTGCTGAGCATCCAGGATGCCTCCCTTCTATAAGTGGCCATTCATGTTCATCACAGAGATCAAAATGCCCCATCCCTGGGCCTTGTACAAGTACCACAAGGAAAGATAGAACTTACCAGAGTCCAGGTGATCAGAGACCAACCGTAGGATGTCCCCAGGCTCTCCATCAATGTTAAAGCAGACAGTGAGTTTGCTTAAGGGGAAATCCACAACAAAATGGGGATCACCATCCACTATCAAAGGCAAGAGAAAAAGAAGAAAATGTTTATTGGCTAAACATCACTTTACATTATCAGATGGATCGTTTCTTTAATCATAATGCTGAAAGAACAGCGAATAGTGTTCTCAATTCTACATGAGGAAAGTACACCCAAGTGTAAAGATGGCCCAAAGTTACCCAATTTGCACACAGTGAGGGTACACTGACTTCTGGTCTCCCGAATTCAGATGTAATGGCATTTCCATCATACTCAGACAACTAAGCTTTGAGAGGTGAGACAACAGGAAAAGAGAAGGAGATCTTCTACACATTTTCAACTACTATTAGGTTCGGCTTCCCACGTGGACATGCATATCATTTTCTTTGTCCCTTAACTGTCTCAACAAAGAATGAAGCCCTAGAACTGGAGAGCTGGCTCAGTGGCTAAGAGCACTGGCTGTTTTGCGGAGGACCCAGGTCAGTTCCCAGCAACAACACGCAGGCTCACAACCACTTGCAACTTCCGTTCCAGGGAATCAGACATGCTCCCCTGGTCTCTGTGGGCACCGTATGCAAGTGGTACACAGACATTCGTGCAGGTAAAACACTCAAATTCATAAAACAAGAATAAATAAATCTTAAAAAGAATGTAAGAATGAAGATCCTTTCCTGTCTATATCAAGAGTTCCATGGAAAATATTCCTTCGCCAAGGAAGTCTGGTGTGCCCAACCCCCATCCTGAGGATAGGTTTGAATTGGCCCAACACAAAGTTTAAACTTATCTATCATTATGGAACTTTTTTGAGTGAGTATACGTATGTGTATGTGTAAGTGTATGTGTATGTGTATGTGTATGTGTATGTATATGTGTATGTGTGGGAGTATGTATTCTCACATGTGGCACAATTGTTTGTGTCTGTGCACACACGTGGAGGCCAAAGGAAGGCATGGGGTATTCCTCTCTAGCACTCTGCCTTACTTCACTAAATCTAGAGCTAGGCTGCTAGATAGCAACGTCCCCAAATTCTCCTGTTTCTGTCCTCATGGCACTGGACTTACAGGTATGAGTGTGGCCACATCTGGATTTTGGCACAGCTGCTGGGATTCAAACTCAGGTCCTCAGGCTTGTGCAGCAAATGCTCTTACCCACTAATGCTCAGCCCCACTGTGGATTTCCCCCTTTCTGTAACCCACGTGCAGGTTCTAGAATGTAAATTTTTGTAGATTACAACACCATGTCACAATGTCAACAGGCTGGACACTCGCGCTACACAATCTCATAAGCAGACAGTGTGAGCTCACTCACAGTAGAGCCCAAGTTCAGGCAGGGACAGGCACAGTGTAAAAGCCACTAGAAGGCCATGCAGTACAGTCAGTGGTGATGGTGGAAGTCCCCCTGTTGGGTCACACAGATGGGACTATAAACCTCAGCCCTATTCTTTCTCTTCTTTCAGTTTCCATCTCTGCTAAAAATAAGCAGTATTACCTCTTCCTCAGCAGACCCTCCTGAGAGTCAACACCCATCATCTTCTCTTATTACAAAGGAGATTCAGTTCCTCCCTGACTTACACCTAAAACAATGTAATTGGTAGCTCTTTTCCCTCCCTCCCTCTCTCTCTCTCTCTCTCTCTCTCTCTCTCTCTCTCTCTCTCTCTCTCTCTGTGTGTGTGTGTGTGTGTGTTGGAACTGTGGGTCTGGAGGAGTTCAGTCTTTTCAAGTTGCAAGGAAATTCACATCCTCCCTGTGACTGCTGACGCCCCTTTCCTTCAGTACTAGCTCTCAGAAAAGTCTTTGAGAGAATCTGGCAGCTCCCACTGTGAAGTGCCTCAAGCCCATGTGAATGGCACCATAAAGAAATAGAAAGTGAGGATCGGGAGATGAGACAGCTCGATTAGTAAAGGCAGCTGCCTCCCAAACCTAGGGGCCTCCATTCAAGCCCCAGAAAGCGCGTAAATGCCAGGTAGCCTGTGCCTCTTCATCTCAGTGATGGCGAGACAGGCAGATCCCTGTGAGCCTGATGCCAGCTCCTCTCCCTACTTGAAGTTCTGAACCAAGGGGCGATCCTGTCTCCTGTAAAAGGTGGAAGGTGCCTGAGAAATGAGGCTGGAGATTATCCTCTGATGGACACACCTGCGTACTCACCCACATACAAACATACAGAGGGTGAGAATACAAGGTATCTGTCTTGATGACGGAAACAGATTACCCAAAGGAGACAAAGTTTCTTGCCATCTGTGGCATAGGCGTGTATGGACACAGCTTGCCTGACCTTTGGCGGTTTCTACTGCCCTGAAACATAATTTCCACTGAAATCCTGCAGGAGGGAAGTTGGTGCTTCTTCCAAAAGTGTGTGGCGGAGTCCAGCAATCATCACCACAGGCAGCGTCCAAGGGAAAGGTTTTTTTGCATTCCACAACACAGATGCATGTTAGGAAGTGCATCCTCTCCATGGGACACTACGTGCTTCTATCCCCACAGCTGTCCACCAGGATGTCCCTGGCTGTGTGATCACGCACGTCTAGCTCATCAGCAAAAAGGCAAGAACAAAAACGTACAAGGGACGATGTGGACGTTGGGAGAATAAAACCCGGACGTTCTTCCATCCAGATTCTTACTATATTACATTCTTAGAAGATGCTGCCAAGAGGAAATCTTATTACATCTTCAGTCTATGCTTCCCTTCAAAGCCAAGGATTCAAAAACAGCCAAATTTAAAAAAAGAAAA